AGTGGTCTTCCTGGGGCACAGGGAACAGATATTTATCCCTCATGTTCTCACAATGGACTGGGACCACTCAAGGGATGAGAAATACTGTCATTTTCTCAGTAGTTCTTGTGAAAATCATGGACTTTCACGTGTGAATGTCTTGAGAGAAGCTATGAGAAAGCTCTGCAATTTACTTGTGCTTTATTCTGGTACAGTATCACCCTTATTCCTTGCCTTGATCTTTTAATATCCAGCCACTTCCAAGTGCCTTGCTGGTGGTTGAAGACGCTTATCTAACGGGGAGACCGGCCTCGGGAACGTGAGTATTTCCTCTCCCAAAGAGAATTTATCTTATATTGACTTGAAGTGGTGTAACTGCTTGATAGACAAAAATTGACATTCTTAACGTCGTCAGGTGCTATTAAGCATTTCCGTTTGCAAGACATAAAGCAGCTGAACTGCTTGTATATTCAATATGGTTGAAGAGAATTATACATTTGCATCCGAATTCGTTCTCCTGGGCTTCACCAACCGCAGAGACCTGCAGGTGACATACTTTGCCTTATTCCTTGCCGTCTACGTGGTCACTCTAATAGGAAATCTGGGGGTAATTACACTAATCACAATCAATCCGTGCCTACACACTCCCATGTACTTCTTCCTAAGCCACTTGTCTCTCCTGGACGTCTGCTACTCCTCCACCATCATCCCTCAAACCCTGCTGAATTTTTTAGCAGAGAAGAAGGTTGTTTCCTTCGTTAGGTGTGCCGCCCAGCTCTTCTCCTTCGCGACCTGTGCCACCGCCGAGTGCTACGTGCTGGCTGCCATGGCTTATGATCGCTACGTGGCCATTTGCAACCCTCTGCTCTACTCTGTGGTCATGTCCCAGAGGCTTTGCGTTGGGATGGTGGCTGGTGCCTACTCAGCCGGTGTGATCAGCTCCATCATACACACGGTTTCCATATTTCGTCTCCCGTTCTGCCGGTCCAAGAGGATCAACCATTTCTTCTGTGATGGACCACCCCTGCTAGCTCTCTCCTGCTCTGACACCCGTGTCAACGAGGCGATCGTTTCTGCTGTGGTGGCGTTCAATTTGCTAATCACCATGGTCTTCATGTTAGTGTCCTACGTGTCAGTCCTCTCCACCGTCTTGGGGACGCGCTCCGTGGCCGGTCGGCACAAAGCCTTCTCCACCTGTGCCTCTCACTTGGTCTCCATCGCTTTGTACTACGGCAGCTCCCTCTTCATGTACCTGCGCCCTGGCTCCAGACACTCCTTGGAGCATGACAAGGTGGTCTCCGTGCTCTACTCCGTTGCAGCCCCCTTGCTGAACCCGCTCATCTACAGCCTAAGAAACACGGACATGAAGAATGCCGTGAGGAAAGCAAAAGGCAGAGTCCTCTCTTCCTTGTCCATCCATGGCTCATGGTCAGCCAGAAGGAGAGGGTTACCCTTCCGTGGTAAGGAGGGCTAGGTATGGCACTTTCAAGAAGCAGAGACTAAACGCACCTGGAAGCAGAACACCTGGAAAACACGATTTTCTTTGAAAAAAGGCAATGCGTAGTGCTAGGAGTGCTGGGACTTTCCTGAGTCCTGACAGTGACTGTGTGTTGGTCAGAAAGTTATTATCCAAACAACTTAAATAAGACTTAAAATAAATATTATTTACTAAGTAAATATTAATTTTTAAAAAGAATTAATTTAATTTCACACTTCATAGAGCAAAAGGTGGTGGCTTTGTCCTGCCAACGACAAACCAGCCGGTGTCTGATCTCTCATGTTTTATATCCATGACTCTTCTCTGGTGATGTTCCTGGTATTAGGAGGATGTTAATTGAATTTCCTAGGAGTTTTAGGTCTAAGCCGTGAAGTGAGGTCGTGTGAAGTAACGCAGTGACGGTGTGTCGGTCATCAAAGCACCCAACGGTAAGTGGGGACAAGTCACATTTGAGCTTCTGCTCTGCATTTAACTAGGGATGTAGAGGGCCAGAGTGCTGGCAGGAGGGAGGATTTGAGTCCTCCTTTCCCCCAAACAGACAAGGTGCTGCTGGCCTGCGGTCACCTTACGATGGAGATGGCAAAAATACAATACCAAACGGTCTGGATCTGGGATTTCAAGCTCCATTTTTTACCCTGTGGGTGCCCACCTACCCAAGCAGACATCCTTAGTGGATTATTTTGCCTTCCATGTATTTTTTTTTTTAATAATATCTGAAATATCTTATTCTTTTCCCCCTCTTTATGTTGCTTTTCCCACTTTACAAGCCTTAGTTTTAGCCCAGCACTGAATAGGGAAGAAAGAAATATAAAAAACACAAGAAAATCCTTTTCTACCCACCTTCAGTGCATCTCCAGGACTAATAATTCAGTACTTTCCAGAAAAAAAAACCCAAATTTACATTAAAAACCTCTAAAGCCACCCGTGTACTTCTCCACCTTGTTTCCCCATAGTCTATAGCTCCAGCATTCTCTTCCATCTCCTCCATCCTTTGTGTTTTCTAAATGTCTGGGACAGTTGTCACTGAATGTTTGTGCCAAGGGTTTTGTCATCTAGCAGGGTCTTGCAGGACACATTGTCACTGAGGATTCAGCAGAATGAACCTGGTAAATCTGAGTTAGTTCCGTTAGACCCTCAAAGCAGCTGTATAAAACGATGCCTTCGAGCAAGTGTGAGGGTGCTGTGCAGACACCAGTCAAGGGTGTGGAAATAAATATTTCTGCTGGTGAGGATGCCCCACGGCCATGCTCCGCTCATTCCTACAGCAGATGCTCCGTTAGGTTTGTTTTCAGCATCCTTCAGTGCAGCATCTGATCATCAATCGGATCTCCTTGTTGGCACTAAAGGGGTAATTTTCAATACAGAGGTTTGTCGTAGTTGGATAAATAAAAAGAAAGTTGCCTTGGACTTGTCTGTCTGCAAGACCAGGTTGAGGCATGGGCTGGTCTCTACGGGAAAGCTGGTCCTGGAGGTGTTGGTGTGGCCAGGAATGTTTTGGGAGGGGTGAAATCAAAAGAGGCTTTTGCTGAGAAGATCAAAATAATTATTATCTGGAGGAGGGTCCTGAGGGAGAGCGGCTCACACAAACATCTGAGGTAACGCTTCACCCAGGATAAAACCCCTCTGCCAGCCAACCTGGGCGATCCTGCTCCGGAGCGTCTCCCCTCCTACCACAGCTTCCAGCCGTCGGACGGGCTTCCCAAGGAGCTGCAGGCACCGCATCCACCAACCTTTCCTTTTAACCAAGCAGGTAAACAAGGGGTTTGGCTTGCCTGGCGGGTGACCCTTGTGCTGCCTTAACTCCTAACACGTTTCGCAGCACTTTGCTTCCACTGTGACTCGACTCATTTGTCTCTTTAGCAGTTTGTAGACTTCTTATTTAAAAAAAAACCCCAAAAACACTAGCATTGGTTAACACATGAAAATGTACACCAGTCCCTTTTGGTGGCAGCTGGACTGGTGTAATAAATAATAAGGAGCAGGATTTTTTTTTCAGTTTCATGCCACAGTACTAATTTTTTCAAAATTTCTGCATCCAAATGATCAATTGGCAAACCTAAACAAACAAACAAAAAAAACCCCAAAAAACCCCAAAACAACCCAAACACAAAAAAACCCCAAACACAAACCCCAAACCAAAAACACCCCAAAAAGCCTAATTAACAGTCCTGTTTTGTTCATAAGGCTGAAGAGCAGCTCTGTCTGTACTCGGCAAGATTTAAAATGTTCTTATTATTTAACATAATTTCTTTAACTATTTAGCAGGTTCTTAGCCCCAAAGCTGTTTGAGATAGGAATGTCCTCTCCAGGGCTGGAAGTTCACCTATGAGCTGGTCACCACGGGTCGCTTCTACGGCATGGAAACGTGCGCCTCGAGGACAGCATCGGTTTAATCCCAGTGATGGAATCCCTGTCAACGGAGAGAAACACGTGCTTCAGGGGTACCAGTCGTGCAGATGAGCTGCAACGACGTCTCCATTACCGCGTAGTGCTGACCAAGGAGGTCTGAGGTCGGTAGAGTAAAATGAGTGACGCTGGGACTTCATTACCCTCCTGCTCTCGCTTCTGCCTTCTGTAATTTGTTAATTCAGCCTATTCTGGGGGAGGGGATGCTGTTTTGTGGCCGGGATGTGTTGGTGCAGCTGCATCTAAAGGAAGCCCATCCGTGCCCTCCAACAGCATCCACAGCGTGAACCCAAGCGCCCTAGCTGGGGTGAGGAGGTTTGCTTCCGAAAAACCACACTCCACACCCCACCTACAACAGATCTGGGGGAATTTCTGAGATGTAGACATCTGTGGGCAGATCTTTCATCAGATAATTGATCTGCAGAGGGGTTGAAGGGGGGAGATGGGAATACCCAAGCTGAAGCTTTAAAAAGTTTGGCTTATATATAATAAACAGCGTGATGTGGATATTCGAGTTGGTCGTAGAAAGCTCACGGCACTCACAGCAAAGCTGTGCTGGAGACAGTACCTCTGCTCCACCCCCACCCAGCACACGCAGGGGTCTTCCTTCAAAAGCAGATACACAGAAATTACAAAAAACAACCAATTTCCAGCGCACGGCTTTGCTTCATGCTGAAAAGCATGTTTCGTGATAAAAGCCTTAGTTCTGCACCAGAACTAATGAGGCCACAGAAGAGCACTGATCCAGTCTGAAAAAGGAAAAAACCCCTTAGAATTCCCAGAAATCAGTGGCAAGAATCCGGATTGTCCTTGTTATCCACATTTTGGAATATGTCTGTTTGGCTTTTTTACACTTGAACAAACAGTTGGATATTTCTTGGTGTATAATGTATATAAATCCTGCCAGAATGATTTTCTGTTGGTATCTGGGGGGTAAGTAGCTCCTTCACCTCTCTGAGCTCGAAGCTTGGGCTAAAGGCAGAAATAGTGACCTTTTATTTTCCTAAAAACACACTGTTTTCCATCGCATTTGCTTTTATAAGCACCGACGTTTCCCCGGTGTCGCTCTCTTAGGGATTTATTTCACTGATTGATTTTATTTCTGTGCAAGCTAGAAATGGTGGGTAGAGAAAACCTCACTGTTCTGTCTGGCTTCATCCTCTTGGGCTTCTCGGATGCCCCAGAGCTACAAACTACCATCTTCACGATTTTCCTATCCCTGTATGTTTTAATGGTGCTGGGGAACCTGATGATGATCCTGTTAACCATCGCCGACCCCCAGCTCCACACCCCCATGTATTTCTTCCTCTCTCACTTATCTTTCATAGATTTTTGCCTTTCCTCCACTATCGTCCCCAAAGCGCTGGAGATCTTCCTGCTGGGGAGAAGCCACATCTCTTTTTTGGGTTGCTTTGCCCAGGTTTATTTTTCCCTTGCTCTCATCATCTGTGAGGGTTTCCTCCTGGGGGTGATGGCTTACGACCGATACACAGCCGTGTGCAAGCCCCTGCTTTACACCACCACCATGTCCAAGAGGTGTTGCTACGACACGATGGTGCTGGTGTACACCACGGGCTTCCTCACCTCCCTGGTGCACACCGTCCTGGCCGGGAGGTTGTCCTTCTGCCGGGCCAGGAGCATCAACCACTTCTTCTGCGACCTGCCCACCCTCCTGCGCTTCTCCTGCTCGCCCACCCGCGTCAACGAGGTCTTGCAGGCTTCCAACGCTTGGCTTAACACCCTGTGCTCTGTCCTGATGATCCTGGTGTCCTACACCTACATCCTCTACACCATCCTGCAGATCCCTTTGGCCAGGAGAAGGCTTAAAGCTTTCTCCACCTGCACCTCCCACCTGGTTGCCGTCACCGTCTTCTACGCGCCGGGGCTACTCAACTACGTCCAGCCTCACAAGGCGTGCTCGCCGGGCCGGGCAAAGCTGGTTTCAGTGTGTTACACCGTCCTGACCCCCACCCTCAACCCCCTCATCTACAGCCTGAGGAACAAGGAGGTGAAGAGGGCCCTGAGGGAGCTGTGGGTGCGAAAGGTGGTGCCGCATCGATCCAGGCTTTGAAAACGCGTTTTCAGCTCTTCGGTGCTTTGGAGGTAACGAAGGGATCTGTGTTATCGGTCATTGTCGGTCTGAGGTCGCACAGCGAGTACAGGGTGTGGGGAAACCAGCAAAGCAAACTGTTCTCTAGCATCATTGGTAGTTCTCCACCATAAAAAGTCATTCGTTAGCACAACAAATCGTTCTCTTTAAAACACTTCTGTTTATTTTAATCATGGCCTGAGCCTTCAATAATTAATCAAAACAATCATCAGCGCATTCCTAGCAGAACTGAAATAATACCACAACGTTTTTGTGCCTAAATGGTGATAAATGAAAACACTGTCCACAAAAAGGATGCTCAAGTCAGAAGTAAACAATGGGAAATATTTCTGTGGCCTGCTTGACAATAGCTTTTTCCCCAAATGAGCTTGACGAGCTGAGGATTTCTTTAAGTCAGTGACACACGGAGAGCTGCGACCTGGCCCAGGCTCTGAATTTTTCTAGGTGCGTTCTTAAACCTGCTCTTACGAAGGCTTTGCCGAGGCAGGCGTCAGTGAGGTCCCCTTCGTCGGGGCTGTGAGTGGGAAACAGTCTATAGAAGAGGCGGTTAAGAAGGTTTGCCAGAGGCGATCCTGACGAGAGGGGAATGTTTCCCCGAGGCAAGCGACCTGGTGACAGCAGTGTGGGACGCGATCGTCCAGGTGAAGGTCCCGCGGTGAGACCTCAGGTGCCATTTCTGACCGGTGTAGAGAGGAACCCGCAGAAGGCATGAAGCCACAGTGCTGTCTCAGGGAACCCGGAGCCATGGGGACGACTTGTGTGCACCCAGACGTAAGCACCTTGCCCAAAGCATGTTCCAACCCAGATCTTCTGGGGATTTGTTGTCTTTATATCTACTGATCTTTCCCTTTTGGGATGGCCAGTAACATGTCTGTGCTTTGCGTGACAATTTGACTGAGTTACGACTCTTCCGCACGTCGTCACATGGCTGAGGTGGAAGGTGCTCTAAGGAAAACAGCAGGCAAAGGGTTTTGTAACATTTCCTTGAGACACACCCTTTATGTGTCATGAATTACACAATTTCTGGAAGCAAACATAGGTTGTATAATGTCAAAGTGAATTAAATATGTTTTAAATACATACGTAAACCGTGGTCTTCCTAGAAGAACTGTAATGAACAATGAATGAATGGAATGGCAACCAGTTAAAACCAGCTTTAAGCAGGTGTGAGGTGAAACACTATAAAGCTTTTAATCCAAGTTTCTGATGGAGTTTTTAGGAAAAGTAGAGGTGTTTGGACAATTTTCCCAAGAAAGGGTGAACGTGCCTTATTCTGCGTAACTCAGGAGGGACAAGAGTCATGAACACACAGTAAGGGAGCTCATCGCTCCCTTCTGCTCTGTCCTTCTGTCCCCTGTGCACAGGGACACATCCGAGAAGGCTGGATACGGAGCTGTAGCTGTGTTTAGGGGGCTGGGTGGGGGGGAAAACCAGTTCCTTTCTCCCTGAGACATCAGGGAGTGCAATCAGAGTAAGTGGCCAGCCTCACCTGGGGTCTCTGCCCACACCCTCTGTCCCAGGCTGGGGGGCACTATTTAAGCTCAGCCCCAGTGAGTTTAGAACTGTGGTTTCCCCTGGGCTGTTGACTAGAGCTGCTGCTGTGCTCAGGCGCTGTGGGACCGTGCCCTGCATTGTGGCCACCTTCAGCTCCCAGTTTGCCTTCCCTTGGGGAGGAACCGGTCCTCGCTGCTCCCTGAGCCACGGCGCGTCACGCCAATAGCGCAAGCAACACTTAACGCGAGGCAAGATGCTCTAGTGTCCAGGCTGAGGATAAAGCAAGCTGCTGTGAAAGGTAAGTGTTATAAAGATCTCCCCTGTGCCACCTTTTTCTGTGCCTCCCTTGAGGAAAAGGGCCCTGCTCAGCTGTGTGCCCTGGGTGTGTTTTATTTTACTCTGTATTAGGTATCAACAACGTGGACTCTTACATCTGAGCAAAGAAATAATTGGTTTATTGACATAACAACACTGTGGTGCGCTTAGGTCACAATTTCTATGGCTAACAGAAACCATGCTGGGAGCACTTAACTTTTATTTTAGCCATTAAAAAACACTTAAAATGGACTAACTCGGATGCAGCCATGTACAAATGAACGTTGAGTGACAGATGACCCCCCCTCTCTTCCCTCCATGGAGCCCTGGCACCCCGGCTCTTATCGCTCAGGGTCTCAAAACCAGGTTGCGGTCGGTTGTCTCTGCTTGGGAGAGCGTGTTGTTCTGCAGCATCCCTCGGCGGTACCCGCTCAGCTGTAGAGCTGTCTGGGGAAGAGGTGGCTGGGAGGAAATAGCACTTAAAACAGCTCATTAGAAGAAAACGGGGGGAAAAATGCTTCTCCCTAGCTAGTTACATGCTAAAAGTCTTGCCAATAGGGAGCAATAGCACTCCCAGCTGCTGCTGCTAAAGCAGATAAGGATGGAGGTCAGATGAAGCTCATTTCCCACCCAAATAAGCTGTTTGGCTGAGTTAGATGCCGTGCAGCTGTGGGAAGCAGGGTGTAGGCTGAGATCCATGCCAGTGGCTGAGGGTGCTGCTGCGTGTTGGGTACAGGCGGAGACAAGCCGGAGCTTTTGTTCCCCAGGGATGAAAATGCCAGGAAAACATCCCAGGTGCTCTGGTGGAAGTGCCCTCCGGGTTTGGCGGGGAAGCAGTGGAGTTCTTCCAGCGCAGACACAGCTACGCTGCCTCCAGGTTGTCGTGTTGTGGTCGCTCAGGGATTTAGCATCTTCCTGGTGCTAAATGACAGCCCTGCTGCTCTCATCCCCGGCAGCTCAGCACCCTCTGCTTCTCCTCCCTTCCCCTACTTTCCATGCCCATGTCCTGACATGGAATGAGATTTCAGTTTTCCTTGTGGTTAGCCCTAAGTGAGGTGGGGCTTTTTTGGATATACCTCCCCAAAAGCCTCCGGTCCTCCTTGAACTTGCCTCTAGAGGAATCACCGCTTGAATCGGCTGAGATTTCAGTTTTCCTTGTGGTTATATCCAAAAAAACCCCCCACCTCACTTTGGGCTACCTCCCCAAAAGCCTCCAGTCCTCCTTGAACTTGCCTCTGGAGGAATCACCGCTTGAATCGGTGCAACTTCCTAAGAAGCTGAGCTTAGGAGGGAAATTCCTTATGAGTTTTTATTTTTACCACCTCCCATGATATTACAGGATTTCACAGAAATAAAACCCAGAGGTGATAAGGAAATGTTTGTCAGAGGCCTGTGATGCCAGGATGTTTGGTAACATGGAGTCTCTGCGGATTTTAAAGCACGCTCAAAACTTGCTGTACCTGCTTCCGTAAGGGCGTACGGATCCGTGCCCCTCCGGGCAGCTGGAGTGCTTTAAAAGGGAAGCAGCAGGAGTATTATGATCCGATTGGGGTCAGTTTGGTCGGCAAGCAACTCGCAAAAACGCTATTTGCTGTCGCTTTTCGGAGCGCATCCTGGACCTCCTTGTTCCTCAGGCTGTAGATCAGGGGGTTGAGCATCGGGACGATCAGGGTATAAAACACGGCGGTGACTTTCTCGGTCTCCAGCGAGTACTTGGAGGCCGGCTGCATGTGGCTCAGCCCCGCGGGCACGTAGAGCAAGGCAACGCTCAGGAGGTGGGAGGCGCAGGTGGAGAAGGCTTTGTGCCTGCCTTTGGCAGACCTGATCCTCAGGATGGAGAAGAGGATGTAGACGTAGGAGAGGATGAGGACGAAGAGCACAAAGATGGAAATGGTCGCGTTGAAGGTCACAAGCAGAAGCTCATTGAGGTGGTTATCGGAGCAGGTGAGTTTCAGCAGAGGGTTGGTGTCGCAGAAGAAGTGGTTGATGACGTTGGGGCCGCAAAAAGACAAGGGCAGCAGGCAACATGTTTGGGTTAGGGAGTTCAAAATCCCCCCTACGTATGACACGGCCACCAGCCGGACGCAGACCCTCTTGGGCATAGAAAGGGTGTAGAGCAGCGGGTTGCAAATGGCTACGTAGCGGTCGTATGCCATCGCAGCCAGCAAGAACACCTCTGCGGTCACAAACGTGAGGAAAAAGAAATGCTGGGCGAAGCAGGCAGAGTAAGAAATGGTTTTCTTTTCCACCAAAAAGCCAATAAGTAGCTTTGGAGAAAAGATGGAGGAGTAACAAAGATCGATAACAGAGAGATGGCAGAGGAAGAAGTACATGGGGGTGTGCAGCCGGGGGTTTGTCCTGATCAAGGCGATGAGCCCAAGGTTGCTGATCAGGGTGAGGAGGTAAATCATGGAGAAGATGATGAAGAGAGGAGTCTGCAGCTTCGGCTCACACGTCAGCCCTAGGAGGATGAAGTGGGTCACCGTGGTGTGGTTGCCTGGAGCCGTGTTACTGGCCGTCATGGTAGCACGACCTCTGGGAGGAGGAGAAAGAGAGGAACGAGGGAGAGCAATGGCATGGCTTGCCTACGGTGCTGCTGTGCTCGGCTAGGCTGCTCGTTAAGAGAACAGAGATTTGACACTGGAGAGAACGTCAACCTGCGCTTAGGTTTGACCCAAATCCTCACAGGCAGAGCTACTCATCCAAAACCTTTCGGAAATGGCACTTTGTCCTCATTCTCTTCAAGCAGGAGGTTGAATTAAAAAACCAATTAGTGCTTTTCCTTTAAAAATAACCCCTCAAACTAACACCGAATGGTTTGAAAACTGGAGGAGCGAAGGCTCTGCAAACCTGTCACCTCGTTTCGTTAGAACAGGAGGCAGAACAGGGGGAAGGTATTTCATTCTCCGCACGAGAAGACTACCCAGACGCGAGGCACGCTGACCCTGGGAGCCCCGAATCCCCCCTGCCCCCTCTGACCAGCCTGGCGGGATCCCCCGCTGCCCACAGCAACTCCGGGTGGGCTGCTGGGGACAGAAGCCCCTGTGCCAGCCAGCCTCTTCCTGCCCAGCTGCTGCGTTTCTGTCGATAGTCTTGGTCCGATTCCCAGCACAGAGGGAAATATTATTTGCAGCTCTGGGGGGAATAATGAAACAGGGTTTTTTTTACACTTAATTTCTTATCTAACCCTATTATTTACCCAGTTTTCTCCACTCAAGGCAGGGAAGGAAGGCGTTTTCAGGCTCCTCCTCACAATCATGAGGCTAAAGCGGTGTCTAACGTGCTACACGCGTGGTGGAAGGCTGTTCGCTGTATTCACGGGAATCCAGGAGGCGAGGGGTTAAAACCCCACTTATCAGAAGGCTCTATAGAGCAGAAAGGAAAAGGTGCCTTCACGTTCAACCACGCAGCACCTCGCACAAGGTACGTTTTCCTCATCAGTGGCAGTTACTCTTCCTAGCGGAGCCCAGCGGATGTTCGGAATTCTCCATGCACCTGGAAGACTTGTGGTGTAAATATGGTAGTGGGATTAATTAACGATAACAGTGTGCTAGACAACAGTGGGAATCCCTTGTTAGAACAGAAAATGTGAGGGGGAAAACCCCACTTTGGTATTGAAACAAGCACAGTCTACAAGGCAGGGGGTGATGGTGCCGGAGTTGAATAGGAGGGAGGGAGGAGCTTCTCAGCCTGGAGAAGGGAAGCTCCAGGGAGACCTTATAGCACCTTCCAGTGCCTGGGGGGCTACAAGGAAGCTGGGGGGGACTTTTTACAAGGGGCTGTAGTGACAGGACAAGGAGTAACGGGTTTAAATTGAAAGTGGGGAGGTTTAGATTAGATATCAGGAAGGAATTCTTCCCGCAGAGGGTGGGAGCACTGGGACAGGTTCCCAGAGAAGCTGTGGATGCCCCATCCCTGGGAGTGTCCAAGGCCAGGCTGGATGAGGCTTGGAGCCCCCTGGGCTATGGAAGGTGTCCCTGCCCATGGCAGGGGGGTTGGAACTATATGATCTTTAAGGTCCCCTCCCCCCCAAACCATTCCATGATTCTATGATTAACCTGGAGCGAGCCCGTTGGCCACCACTTCAGTAACATCCCTTCCACGTGGATCGCCAACTCCCCCGCTCCAGCAGGGAGAGAGGATAAATTCTCTGCAATAGCAAAAGCCCAGCTGCCTCCTGATTTTTACTCTTTATCTCCAGAGACACGTGGGATGCCTTCGGCAAAGGGGCGACGGGGACCGACAGCAACACAGCGTGCCATCCCGGAGCGTGGCAGGATGCCGCCGGCCGTGCCCGGCTGCCGAGCGCGTTAATTAACCGGCATCCTCGGTTTCAGTGGTTCCCAGCAGGGTGGGTGTCTTGCAGTTGAGAGATCCCCGCACTCCTTTCCCAGCACAACCCCGGATTCCCACTGTTATCCCTGTTAACAGGCGGAGCTTTCACGTTACAAGTGTTTATGAGGTTCCAAGGCACCGGAAAGAGCTGGTAGGGGGTTTCTAGGGGTTGGCTGAAGCTGCTTTTCCTTTCCACTAAACAGTTTTGGAGAACACTCCAACAATCCCCACACCCAAAAATCCCCAACAGAGCCGCCCAACCCCAGTGCTGGCCCCAAGCTCCCTGCAAACGAGGGACAAGGATGCAGCGCAGGATTGCTCCAGGCTCTGCAGCGCAGAGAGAAACCCACGAAGGTTTCCTGGCGGGCTGAGCCCTGCGCAGCATTCCCAGGCTGCGGGTCATCCCGCGCCGCCGCGCGGTCCTGCTCTCCCAGCTGCCTGCCCCGGTGGGTTTTCCTTCGCTCAGGGCACGAGAGCAGCTTTGCAGGTGTTTTCCCAGAGGTGGTTGGCACTGGAAGGTGGTGACACGTGCTGGGAAAGCCCGAAGGTAACGCTTAGGAAGTCAGGCGTATGGAAAACGCACAGCTCGGGTATGTGTTGCTAATGAGCTTTCGCTCGTTAACTTGCAAGTCTGAATGCTGCGGGGTTTAATCTTGCTCTAAAGCCTGAGCCGCGTCCCGCTTCCCTGCCGCGCGTCCCGCTTCCCTGCCGAATTCTTACCCAGCACCCGGCCGTGTCCGTGGGCAGCATACGCGTGTCGCCCTAAGGCAGGAAGAAGAAACGTGAGCCGCTTTCCTCCATTTTCCAAATTACTGGGATGCTCCAGGAGGGAATCGGCTCTTTGCAGACGCCACGCTCAGAGATGAGACCGAGTAACGCAACAGCAAGGAGCAACCACGCGTTTTTGACCACAGCTGTCCCGAAGGGCTTGCGCAGGGGAGAGAGCTTCTGGGGTTATTTACTTCCCACCAATGGAAATCCCTGAAGGAAACCTTGGCTGAGCAAAGAGCTTCCTGCCAACCACAGAGGGGATCACTAGAAACTCTCAGAAGAGCCTGGAAGTTTGGACTCGGGTCCTGTCCCCGCAGCTAAGCGTGCAAGGCTCGTTAACCTCGTTAGCTCTGGGCTGATGTGGAAGCGGGGGAAGTTTTCTTCCCGTGGCAGAGCCGTATGAGCCTGCTGAATCGTGTTTAGTGGGATGCCAGGTCTGGAGTTTATTCTCCTGTGTGGATTGTGCCAGCTCAGAGCTTAAACTACACAGTTTAAGGTGGTTGAGTGCTGTAACTGAAGTCAAAGAAAAGGATCTGGGGAGACCTCAGAGCCCCTTCCAGTGCCTGGGGGGATACAAGGAAGCTGGGGGGGCTTTTCCCAAGGGCAGGGAGTGACAGGACAAGGGGTAACGGGTTTAAACAGAAAGAGGGAGATGGAGATGGGACATCAGGAAGGAATTCTTCCCGCAGAGGGTGGGGAGCACTGGGACAGGTTGCCCAGAGAAGCTGTGGATGCCCCATCCCTGGGAGTGTCCAAGGCCAGGCTGGATGAGGCTGGGAGCACCCTGGGCTATGGAAGGCTATGGGGGTGGGACTGGGGGGCTTGAAGTCCCCTTCCCACCCAAACCATTCCACAACTACACATAAACACATTTCAGAAGACGAGTATCTTCATCATTTGGAACCCACAGCAGAGGTCCAGCGCGTAGCACAAGCGTGCAGCCAGCTACGGCCCCTACCCCGTAACACACCGTGTAGCCTGCGGCATCTCCCGTACGTCGCACCTACCAGTACAGCCAGTACAGGTCACAGGTGAGGGCAGCTCACCCTGCTCAGCAAGGGACTCCGGATGGAAGGTGAGGGGGGCGGAGGGTGCTTGGAAGGGGGAAGTAGAGGGAGAGGAAGGACAGAGGGAGCTGTGTTCGACACTAAAACAGCCCTGAACAGCCACGTTTTTCAAACCGCCCTGCCCAGCACTGAGCCCCGCACGAACTGAGCCCAGGTTCCACACGACAAGGATGTTTAAAAGTTGCTTAAACTGTCTGAGTGGGGTTTTTTTTCCAGCTGAAGGGAAAAAAAAGAAGCTGACAAGGATTCTGGGTTGAAAGTGCAGAGAGAAACCACGGTAAGTACATGAATACGCAGAACAGGTGACAAAACACCCCCCTTGGCGTTGGTTGTTACAATCCCATCTTCCCCGCAGCACGTTCCCGGCTCTCCGGGCACAGCCTGCAGGTGTGATGGGGTGACAGCTGCACGGACGCCGCGGAGAGCACAGATGTCCACCTCAAAGCGCCTCCGTGGATGCCCCCAGGCTTCCTCTTGCCAAAACACCCCTGGTTTAGGGCTTGGAATTAATCTGAGCAGCACAGCGGGTGCTCTGCTCCGGGTGCCCCTTGCCACCCACGCGGCAAGTCGCAGCCGGGCAGGATTCCAGCTCTTCTTTGCGCTCCACTTCGGAAAATTTCTGAAGTGGCTTAAAAAAAATCTGGATTATTTTAGCAGTGTTAATGGAATTCCCCTGTCAAACAAGCCCAGCTTCTTATTTTATACCTTGGCAGAGCGCTGACTCGCCCATCCTTGTCTACAAACCATCCAAAACCCACCAAGACCAGGATTTAAAACCCAAACTTTCTGGATTCGGGCCTGTGCTCGATTTGCTGGCTGCTGTCACCAGTAGGTTTCCCCCTAAAACTGGTTTTCTTCACCCCTGCAGCCCCAGCAACGAGGTGTCAGCCGCCCCCTCCAGAGAACGAGCAGCATTGTATTGGCAAGTAAATTTTATTCTGAAAGCAAAACCCGGCGCATCGCTCTGAGCAAAGACTACGCAAAACACGGATCAACGTAAAACAAGGGAAAAAGAGGCAACGTCTTACTCTTCTTCTCAGCCTGGGACCTGTCTCTGCGTGTGCAAGGTGGCAGGAGGGATGCCTCGTGGAATCAGGGAGTGAAGAGGCTTCCACTCTAGGGATGGCTGGTGTTTTTCTTGCATTAAACAGAACCCAGCAGCAAAATTCAGGCTTGGAGAGCTGCAGTCTCGGCTTGTCCTCGGGTTACGTACTAAGAGCGGCCAGAAACTTGCTGGAATTGGGATTACTATTTGTTTTTAGAACAAAGTGACTACACTAAGGGATGGAGGAACCTCTACCCGATCCCTCTTAAGTGGAGTTTACCTCATTATTCCAAGTTTCCTTCCCAATTCCAGGTTGCTTTCCACTCACCCTCCCCCAGTTTCCCCTTCAGCCTCTGCTGCTTGCACCCACCTGGTTTTGGATGGATTGTCAGGCAGAAATCTCTCTCATTTCTACCCACTTCACTCTCCACGTGTCCAACTTTTCATGTCTTAAATCAGAGAGGGTGTTTGTGATCGGTGTCTCCTTTTAACTCCACAGCCCGGGCATCACCTCCGGTCCCAGTGATCTCCTCATCCAAAGCCCCCAGCTGAGGAACGCTGCTGCAGAATGAAACTCCCCCGCTTTCACGCCCCCTCCCCACACTGCAGCTGTTTCAGCTCCCCCCTCGCCTCTCACGTTACTGCTGCTGCGCAGGAAGACACGTAGCTGGTCACTAGCCTAGCGCCGAGGGGAGCAGCAGCAGCACCCTTCCTAGCACTAACACGCAGGACAGCAAGACAACTGTTCGTTATTAGCCTAAAACTCCTGGTTGGGCACAAAAACCCAATCACAGGGGAGTGCGACTGGCCAGTCTGGCTATTTTCCCCTTTTGGTCTTCGCGGCGCTGTTGGGCTTGGCCTTCTTTTTTGCCGAGCCCTTGGTCTCGGGCTCCTTGCGCTTGGCTGAGGTGATGGAGCCCGTGACCTTGAAGAAGTCGTCCAGCCGGCCCTGCGTGCTGCCCTGCCGGCTTTTGCTCAGCCGTTTGACCCCGCTGCGGATGCGCTCTTCGTTGAACTGCTTCTCGCCGCACATGAACTGGACGAGCTCCTCTTCATTCGGCTCGCTCCACTTCAGCTCTACAGTGTCGGGGTCGACCACGTCAGGCTCTAGGAAGAGCTTCTGGGCCTCTTTGTGCAACCAGTTCTCAGGCAGAGGGTACTTCTTGGTGTCTATCTGCTGAACAATCTTCTCAATGGTTTTGTGCTCCCTGATGAGCTCGATGGCGCGCTTGGGCCCAATGCCACGGATGCTCTCGCAGTAGTCACAGCCCAGGAGGATACACAGATCCACAAACTGTTCCCAGGTCAGATCTAGATCCTGCAGAATACGGCTCAGGTGAAACTCCTGGATGGGCAGCTTCTTCGTCTCGCTGGCAGTCAGATGCCGCATCAGTACGGGACTGCCGAAGGTCAGGCAATCCATATCTTCCGTGGCAGCTGCGTAGACCTTCCCAGCCTTCACCAAGGTCGCGCAGCTGGCTTCAGCCTCCCCCGGCGCTTCCACGTAGGGGATGCCCATCAGCGTTAGTAGCTTCTTGCACTCGTTAGTGTGCTGCTGGGTCACCTTCACCAGCCTCTTGCTGTATTTCTCAATGTTGGTCTCCTCTCCGGCCTCCTGAGCTTCCTGCAGGTGTTTCTCAGCCTCAGCCCGGCGCTCCGTCCGCTTCGCCAGCTCCCCCGATTTCAGCTGCGGGGGTTTGCCGTCGAAGACGTAAACCGGCTTGATGCCGTTCTCCACCATGCGGATGGTCCGGTAGAACATTCCCATCAGGTGGCTCGTGGTCTCGCCCTCCTCGTTCTGCAGGACCTCGGCTCCCTGCCGCACGGCGATCAGGAACTGGTAGATGCTCATGGAGGCATCTATAGCCACCTTCCGCCCAAAGTAGGACTTGATGTCGTTCTCCCGGATGGCGCCAGGAGCCACGTCGGCAATAAGCTTGGCCAAGCCATGGATTCCCATCCTGGGGAAGAGAAA